ACTTGATGAATTTAAGAATCTTATGATTTAATAAAGAAATTTGCAGACTTGCATAGCGATGGTAAAATTATGATGACTGATAACGGAGAGGAAGACAACAGACGATGAGGACAGGGAGGAACAGGGGTTTAAATGCACCAAGGAGACAGTCAGAGGGAACTTGGGACAACTGGAGACATTTAAGGATGCAGGGACTGACAGAGACAGGGAAGAAGTCTCATCTTTGAGTAAAGTTTATCTTGGCTGGCTGGGCAGCTCTCTGGGTGCTCAGAACCCCCAAAGCTCTGATCCTAGAATCGCCCCTGCATCACAGCACATCAGATAATGGGAAATAAATATTATAATCATTTCAATCTCATTTAAGTGCGGGGCTAAGACTAATTTAATAATTAGCCTTTTGTAACCGAAAATGTCGTATAGCTTATTTCCTCTTTCCTTCTGTAACATCTAAATTACACCATAAATTGCAAAACTGTATTCAGAGTAACATAACTACGTAACATTAGTGATTTAGCCCTCCTAATAGCTTGTCTTTATTTACACTGTATTGAATTTTATCCTGACATGCACTAAAATTATATACTTGTTGCTGTGCCAAGTTTCTACATCCTTTAATGAGGCAGAACTGGACATGGGATAGTGGAGATCAATATTAAACTTTAAATGATACTGGAACTTCAAGTTTTCATTTCTGCTAATGTTTTACACTCTTAATGATACATTTGACCTATCAGATTGTTTAGATGAGGTTCATGTATCCTAAAATGAAAATGTGAATAACAACACTTTATCTTTGATTAAACAAATAATGAAAACAATAGACTTAAAATAAGATCTTTAATCAGTTCATCTTCGCCAACTTCAGGAATAAATTAGGAAATAGGGTTAGGGTTATTAAAAAAATATACAAACAGGCACCCCTAAAGTTTGTATTGTGGGTATACTGCAGCGTAATCTCTTGCATCGTGTGAAAGCTATATTAAAAGGCATGCTGTATTTTTGTTTTATAAAGCTCGCCACCACTAGAGGGCACGATGACACCGTTAGTTGTTTTTAATCAGAAACCTTACCTGAGTCAATTGGTCAAGGCAAACCGTTTTTGTGGTGTCATTGGAAAATACTGAATGGAGCTGTACTTTTGTTTCTAGTTTAATCCGTAAGATTAGAATGAGAATAATCGAATTAATTAAGTTAAATATTAAACCAAAGTTGACTTTTTTCAAAAAAACAATTTTTAACTATCATAAATTTTGGTTATTATACAGCAGTATTCCACATCCAGACACTAGAGGGTGTTTATAATGCTGCTGGGGGCTCAGAGGAAGAATAAATATAGCTTCATATGTGTACCTCTTCTGTTCTTTACCAAATGTCACTAATTATGCATAAAAATATATTTTAACCCTCTAAAGCACGACAGAAAGCTTTTTTTTTAAAGTCTCATGCCCATTACGTGTGAAGTTCAATAGTCCAATAAGATGTGGCAGTCACTATTATGAATGAGTTGAAAGTGTGGTATCTTATTGTTACACATGGTCACAGGACCGCATTGTGTGTGAAGAAGGTAAGAATGTTTGGCCTAGTGTTTGCATAGTGTTTTACTGCTAAAGAAGTGGTTCTAAAAAAAATTATCCACCACTCGTCATTGTCTACTAATATAGGAAATATCTAACCAATTTTTCTTTTTAAAGACTGGAGAATATAAGGAACAGTTTATTTCATTTTATTATTTATTTACTTATTTGGTTGTGAGAGGAGGAAGCACTTGCTTGCCTGTCTGTAAATATCATCGCACACCGCTGTTAAATGGTGGTTTAAGGTTG